TCTGCTGGGTAGGATCGGGGAGGAGGGGGGATTAGAGGGGGGGGAGAGCACTTGGACAGTAGGACCCCCCTCGCCCACACCCGCCTCACCCACCTGTTGGAAATGCTGTCAACGATGTGGCAGGAATGAGACAAACACTCGGAACTGGACCAGCAAAGCAGATGGACGCCTGCAAGAAGGATGCTCCTCCAGCGGGAATCCTGGGCCACAGCACACGGAACGGGTATTTCCTTTCGGTTTCATTTCCTGCTACGGGTCTGCCTGCCCCTCACTCTGAACTCTGACTTGGTTGGTCAGGGCTCAGAGCTCGTTTTCTCATTAACGGGCAATTGGCTAATTCCAAGGAAGGGGGGGTAAGGCGGAGCCTAAGTTGGCGGCCCCCTGAGAGTCTGAAAGTCATATCAGAAATGGCAGAGCCTAAAGTGGCCTGAGCTCCTTTCTTTGACAGAAAGATCACTGGTTCACTCTCTTCCCTCCCGGCCCCCAGTGCACGGGGAGACACCCCAACTCCCCCTCCTGGCTGTGGGCCTGTGACAGGCCCCGTGGCCCCTCTGACCTGACCTCACCCTCCTCCCTCCGCGTCCCCCGAGGGTCCCTGAGCTGTTCCCTGGGCCCAGACATGCTCCCCTCCGGCCTGTGCAGGGCTGGCTCCCCCACAGGGTGCAGGGGGTGCCAGGTGACTGTCCCCGATCCTGCCTGGCACCACCCAGCCCTACCGGGCAACTCAGCCTTCCTCCTGGCGGCCAGCTCTCACCATCAGAAATGACCTGCTCGGTTCTCTTTCTAGGAAAAGTCTCCCACCAGGAAGTCTGCCTCAGGGCTGGTCCTGCTCCCTGCTGGGAGGTGCCCACACCCCTCTCCCAGGTGCCCACACCGCAATCCCAAGGCTCAGCGCTGTCCTCCCTCCGAGGGAGGAGAAGGGAGGGAGGGAGGGACGGGAGGGAGGGAGGTTCATTTTCTGGTGAGAACAGCAAACAGAAGAGGCCTCCCCATCAGCTGTGGGATGGGGGTGGGGAGGCAGGAGGAGGTGGGGCTGCTGTTTTCACCAAGAAAAACCTCCAGGTCCTGGCACACAGGGTGTGAAGCTATGGTCATGGGGAGGTGGGCGGATGCCCGGGGAGCCGCTGGGACATGGCCAGGTCTGTGTGTGTCGGGGGGGGGGGGGGGGGGGGGGGGACAGGGGGGGAAGGCTGGACGCAGGGCCCCCAGGGAGGACGGGACCGGTAAGGGACAGGAGTCGGGGGTGGACACGGCAGCAGACCTGGAAGGGGCAGCTCTGGCTGAAGATGTCACAGCTTCCTGGTGGGCGTGGGGCTGGGACCTGGACCAGAGCCGTGGGGCGAGCAGGGCAGGACGATCTGCCTGCAGCCACTCTGGTTCGTCCTGCCATCTGCTCACACGCGCTGTGGGGCGTGTGGATGCACACGTGCTACCCCACGCACAGGACTGGCTCCGAGCTGCGTAATGTCCCTGCCCAGACTCATAGGGCGGGGCCCTCACTTCCAATGCGATGGTGATTGGAGACGGGTCCCCTGGGAGATCATTAGGGTTAGATGAAGCCCTGGCGGGGAGGTGGGGGGGGGGCTCATGG